GATACCCCAGCTCTCCGAACACTGAGTGAATATGCCCGGCCGCATGTCATGTCACCCGTCAGTGGGGGAGGGGGCTGCATGAACAGGGCTGCTGGACATCACCCCAATTTCCATGGCCACCCCCACTCGCACCCCCATCCTCCTCATCCTCACCACCATGCATCCTTTTTCTTGCCCCAGTTTCAAAACCCCGCTCTGGGGCATCACGGTTTGCCTCCAGATGCGGCAACTGCAGCCGCAATTTTGGGGTTCCTTTACGGGGGGCTGGAAGGGGCAGGTGTTGCTGGAGGAGCAGCTGTAGGGCCACCAGGGGGCCCGGGAGGCTTAGGAGGAGGAGGTGTAGGGGGTCTTGGGGGACTAGGAGGCCTCGGTTTCCCCCACTCCATCAGAGAGAGGGCGAAACCAGGGTTCGAGTTTAAAACGGAAGAGAGAGTGTACCAGAGTGCCCTGCCAGACCCGTCTCACTCTCATTCCCACTCGCACTCTCACTCGCATTCTCACTCCCACGCCCACTCACTCCTGGGCCCAGCTGTTCTTTTGGGAGGAGGGGGAGGAGGACCAGAATCATCCCTCTATGGGACCCCCCCTCCCCCTCCACCTGCCCCTCCCAACCCCACCCCCTCTAACCCCCCTCCTCCCTCTCTTCCTTCTCTCCCTCCCCCTTCTAGCCGCCTCTCTGGTCCTCCTCCCTCTCATCCTCTCCCTCACCCACCTTCGTCTTCGCTCCTCCCTCCCTCTCTTCCCTCTGTCTCCCAGCCCCAAGCCCCCCCTCCACCTCCCGCCCCTCCTCCTTCCACCAACCCCTCTTCAGTGCCTCCCCCTCCCACTGCCTCCAACCCCACTCACTCGCTGCAGTCGTTCTCCCACTCCCACTCCCAGAGCCAAGCCACAGCATCGGTCACCATCGCTCCCCCCCCGCCTCCTCCTCCCCCTCTCCCTCCTGCGCCGGATCCCGAATCCCACCTTTCCCGATCGCCTGGCGGAGTAGCGAGTGAGCGAGAGAGGGGAGGAGGGGGAGGAGGAGGAGGAGGAGCAGGAGGAGGGGTGAGCGAGCGAGGAGCTCCCGAACGGGGAACAGCAGGAGGGGGAGGAGGAGAGGGGCTGGGGCGACTCCAGATGATGAACGTCACCCCTCATCATCACCAGCACTCCCACATCCACTCGCACCTGCACCTGCATCAACAGGAGACAGGTACTGAGAAAGACCGAGGGCGGGTGCAGGAGAGGAAGTGAGTGGGAGGACACAGGAAGTAGGAGGAGAACAAGAAGAAGTGGGGGGGAGAGAAAAAAAAAGAGACGGAAAATGGTAGGAAGTGAGTGGAGAGAGGAAACGAATAGAGAATAGGAGGAAGTGAGATGAGAGAAGAAGTGAGAGGGGAGAGAGAGGAAATGAGATGCAAATGAGAGTAAAGTGATATGCAAATGAGAGGAAGTCTCCCCACACACTTCCTCACTCTCCCCTCTCACTTCATCTCATTTGCATCTCACATCCTCTCTTTTTTTAAACGTACTTATTAAAACATCAAAAATACATAGAATTCAAAGTCCCTGGACTCTTGGTTCCTATCTGTTGTGTGTGGTTTGTTGCCCTGGTCTCCCAGGTTTTTGTTATTGTGTGCTTTTGTACGTATTTTTTGTCTTGCTCCACGGAGCCCTGACTGCCCCCCCCCCCCCCTTTCCTCTGCACAATAAAGGTTTTTGCCATGGAGGAGGGGGTAGCTCTCAGCCGTGGACTCCCAGAGGTTTCTTTTCAGTTAAATGAGGTTTTTCCTCCCCCCAGTGCTGTGCAGCTCATTTGTTTTTTGGGCATCAGGAGCCGCCAAAAGGTGTTCCTACTCTGTCCTGTTCCTAGCTTCCATGTGCTTTGCTTGTCCTTCCGGTTGTCCTTTGTGTGGATCTATATATTTCTGGGTCACCATTTCCTCCTCGCTCAGCATTGAGGGTTCAGATGTCTTTGAGACCCACCTAGCACCAGGTTGTCTCTTCCGTGGCCTGAGGGCATAGGTTTCTACCCGACATCACCTGACCTGCTGAGCCTGGGCTAAACCCCATTTTGCCGCTATGCATAGGGTCTTTTTTGCTCTCCTGCCATTCCACGCCATGCCTCTCTGCTGTAGTGTCCAGTCAGTCAGTGTCACTGTGCTGTAGTGTCCAGTCAGTCAGTGTCACTGTGCTGTAGTGTCCAGTCAGTCAGTGTTACTGTGCTATAGTTTCCATTCAGTGTTACTGTGTTGTAGTGTCCTGTCAGATACTTTTAGGGTATTGTGCTGTCCAGGCAGTGTCAGTTTTAGGGTGCAGTGCTGTCCAGTTGATCAGTATGTCAGAACTGTGTTAACTCCTGTTTCTTTGTCTCTTAGCTCCTGGAGGGGTTCACCCCCTTATTGACCCCCTGACCTCAGGGTCATCTCTGGCTCGGCTGCCATACCCCGGAGGAGCTCTGGGGGCACCCATCCTTGCACACCCCCTTGCTGACACCGAGGTGCTCCGCCAGCAGCTGTTTGGTGAGCACCTGTCTGTAAAGATGTCTTTGTCTCTTTATATGTGCGTCTGTGTTTCAGTAGAGCACTCCCCAAAATCCGACTAATCATATTCAATATTGTACAGTTATTAGCGTTGTGTCGTGTTGCCAGTTGTCTACACAGGAGACAGTGACTGCGCTAAAAGATTGTTCTTGGGAGAACTGTGGAGGGCGTGCGTCAATCTCTTCGAGTCTGACGGACACACAAAAAACAAGACCAGAGCAGCCGAGCAAGAGCTTCCAGCGTCTCCGTCCTCCACTCCTGCCAGGACTCAAGACAAACTCAGTTTAAAAACGAACAGCCAAGTTTTGGGGCCGGTGACGGTGTGTGTGAGGAGGAGGCGGTGTGAAGATGTTTATATTTCCGTAAACGTGCCATGGGATGGGATGTAAAAGATTGAGAAACAGTTTTCTGGACATTGACCGGCAGTCATAGCGAGTCACTGTTACAGGTGCCATTGGGTTCTATGAGGATGCAGTGCTAGTTTGTGCCACAAGAGGTCACTATCAAACCTGGACATCGTGTGGTTCTATTTCATTTATCTGAGCTGCTGGAACTTGTGGGAACAGGGGCTCAAATTCCTTTTTTTTCTTGCTTTTTAGGAATTTTATTCTTTGTTTAATGTCATTTATCCTTTTAGCTTACTCAACAGTGTCTGTGTTACTGTCCTCCTCCTGTAGGAGGGACACTGTCTTTTTTCTCCCCTTTTGACCATCGGTATCTGAAGAATCGTCCGTCAGTGAAGTGCAGTCTTGGCAGAAGAAACAGCCTGTTGGCTTGTTTCAATGCCCTCCCTTCTCTGTCCTGTGCCTCAGCTTTCTCTTGGAGGAGTGTGTCCTGTCGATCAGTCGGTGTTTGGGTATCAAGCCCCCTCCTCTTTCTCCCCCTCTCTCTCCCCCAGGCGCCCCGTTCAGAGATCTGCCCCCACCCTCTCTGCCCCCACCCATGTCGGCAGCTCATCACCTGCAGGCCATGCAGGCCCAGAGCGCCGAGATACAGAGGCTGGCCCTGGAGCAGCAGTGGCTTCATCACCACCACCACCACTCCCTGTCTGCTGCCCAGGAGGAGTACTACAGGTACTGGAGAGAGCAGGGGAGAGGAGTGAGGGAGTGTGAGGTGGAGAGAGGAGTGAGGGCAGGAGAGAGGGAG